ATCAACACCATTTATGGTAGTAGAAGCTTAGCTAAATCTCTTTGTTGTGAACTTCAAGTTTTGTTTACAATTTTGTTAAAAACACAATCTTTTTCTTTAGATCTTTTACTTTGATGAGAAACTCATAATTCTATGAGTTCAATATGTATTAAAAAAAAATAAGGAATAAGGTTCAAATTGACCACTGAACGTAACTTGAAAATGCAATTAGGCCACTGAACACTGTAAATATATGCAATTTCACCTGATAGCAGGTTACCATCAATTTTAGCAGGTTACCTGCTTACGTGGCAGCTGAGTCGACATTTAATAATTTTTAATAAATTTAAAAAAAATGTTAAAAAAAAAAAACAACGGGTTGGCAGCCAACCATCCCATCGTTTTATTTTTATTTTTTTTTCAATTTTTTTTTTAATTTTTTTAAAGTTATTATTAAAATTTATTAAAAATTATTAAAAATGTCAAGTCACGTAAGTAGGTAATCTTCTAAAATTGATGGTAACCCGCTATCCAGTGAAATTGCATACATTTTGAATGTTTAGTGGCCTAATTGCACATTTTTGGAGTGTTCAGTGACCTAATTGCACATTTTTAGAGTGTTCAGTGACCTAATTGCACTTTTTTTTTTGTTCAGTGGCCTAATTGCATTTTCAGGTTACATTAGACGCCAATTTGAACCTTATTCCAAAAAATAATGGTTAGATCGCCCAAACAATAGTATAGGTAAATTGAAAAATGAATATGTTAATTGGAAAAATAATTGGTTGATATTACAAATGGCACGAAATATATAAATTACGGTATAATATTTTAAGAAAAAAGGATCCTCATATTAACTATGTTGAAAAGGAAATGGAATAACTATAATATATGTATATTGGAAAATGTATTTGTAATTATTAAGAGTCATTTCCAGTTTTGGTACTTATAGGGACTTGGACATTTTCATCCTTCATAATTAAAATTGTCAATTAATAGCCACACTTATTGATTGTTGAACACTGTCCATGTCCCTATAAGTCTAGGATCAAAAATGGAAATGACTCAATTATTAATTTACTATAAATATTTACAAATTTTGTTATTAATAATTAACTAATAATCATTGACCGAGAATAAAAATGACATGAAAAGTATTAATACTTGATTAAAAATGCCACAAAATATATTACTAGAAATATAAATAATATGTTATTAATAATTAACTTGATATGTATTAAAAAGTCATTGATTGAGAATAAAAATAGCATGTAAAGTAGGCCGATTGGAAAAGGTATATGTTATTAATAATTTACTAGAAATATTAATATATATATATATATATATATATATATATATATGTTATTAATAATTAACTAATTAATATGTATAAAAAAAATAATTGAACAGATACTACATTGTAATAGAGCCAGTAGCATTAAAAAAAAAGAATAATTGAATAAGAGTAAAAATCGCGTGGTTGGAAAAGAAAATAATAATTAATACTTGATTAAAAATGACACAAAATATATTATTGAAAATATAAAAAAAATGTTATGAATAATTAAGTAATTAATATGTATTAGAAAAGAATCATTGGTTGAGAATAAAAATGGTATGGAATTTAGGCTAATTGACAAAAGAAATGATAATTAATACTTGATTAAAAACGGCACGAAATATATTACTGGAAATATAAATTATTGTTATTAATGATTAAGTAATTAATATGTATTGAAAAATAATAATTGACTGAGAATAAAAATGACATGAAAATTATGCCAATTGGAAAGCGACATAATAATTAATATTTGATTAAAAGTGGCACAGAATATATAAATTCTGAATATATATCAGAAATTATATTGATAATTATAGTATAAACTAATTTATATATATGTATTAAAACAAAATATTTGACTGAGAATTAAAATAGCATCGAAATTAGGACAATTGTAAAAGAAAATGATTATTAATATTTGATTAAAATTTAAAAAATATCCCAAATAGACTCAAATGAAAAAGAAAATTGCCTGACCATCCAAATAATAGTATAAGTAAATTGAAAATGGAATGTATAAAAAAGAATCATTGACTAAGAATAAAAATGGCATGAAAATTAGGTAGTTGGAAAAAGAAAAGATAATGAATACTTGATTAAAATTGACATGAAATATATAAATTCTGAATATATATCAACAATTATATTAATAATTATAATATAAACTAATTGATATGTATTAAAAAAATATTTGACTCAAAATAAAAATGGCATGAAAATTAACACAATTGGAAAAGGTAATGATTATTAATACTTAATTAAAAATTAAAAATAATTTCAAATTGATTCAAATGAAAAACGATATGGTTAGACAACCCTAACAATAGTATATGTAAATTGAAAAAGATATTTGTTAATTGGAATAATAATTGGGTGAGATTAAAAATGGCACGGAATACATAAATTATGGTATAATATTTTAAGAAAAAAATGATCCTCATAATAATTATGTAAGAAATGAAACGGATTAACTATTGTATATTAAAATTGGAAAAGGTACCTGTTATTAATAATTTACTATATATATATATATATATATATATATATATATATATATGTTATTAATAATTAACTAATTAATATGTATAAAAAATAATAATTGAATGAGAATAAAAATGGCATGGTTGGAAAAAAAATACTTGATTAAAAATGACACGAAATATATTATTGGAAATATAAAAAAAAAAATGTTATGAATAATTAAGTAATTAATATGTATTAGTAAATAATCATTGGGAATAAAAATGACATGAAAATTACACTAATTGGAAAAAGAAATAATAATTAATACTGAGTTAAAAACATCACGAAATATATTACTGAAAATATAACAAAAATCTATTATTAATAATTAACTAGTTAATATGTATTGAAAAAGAATCATTGACTTAGAATAAAAATGACATGGAAATTATGCAAATTGAAAAATGACGATAATTAATATTTGATTAAAAGTGGCACGGAATATATAAATTCTGAGTATATATCAAAAATTATATTAATAATTAACTAGTTAATATGTATTGAAAAAGAATCATTGACTTAGAATAAAAATGACATGGAAATTATGCAAATTGAAAAATGACGATAATTAATATTTGATTAAAAGTGGCACGGAATATATAAATTCTAAGTATATATCAAAAATTATATTAATAATTATAGTATAAACTAATTTATATGTATTAAAAAATATTTAATTGAGAATTAAAATGGCATCGAAATTAGGACAATTTTAAAAGGAAATAATTATTAATATTTGATTTTAAAAATTTAAAAAGAGTCAAAATTGACTCAAATGAAAAAAGAAATGTCCAACTACCCCAACAATAGTATAGGTAAATTGAAAAAGGAATGTATAAAAATGAATCATTGACTAAGATTAAAAATGGCATGAAAATTAGGTAATTGGAAAAGAAAATGATAATGAATACTTGATTAAAAATGACATTAAATATATAAATTCTTAATATATATCGACAATTATATTAATAATTATAGTATAAACTAAGTGATATGTATTAAAAAAATATCTTACAGAGAATAAAAATGACAATAGTATTCATAAAAAAGAAAAACATATACTCTTTTAAAATAAATTAAAAATTTGAATGACTATAAATTTCATATATGAAAATATATATTCTAATAAAAGGAAATGAAAATTTCAAGTTCACAATTGATATCTAGAATTTCTTTTAATTAGATAGAATTAAAGTGTTCTATTTAATTTTATATCTTTATATTGTATATATCTTTAAATTTATATGTTTTGTATTTCAGTTTAAAATTTTTAAAATTGAAATAATTTTATTTTATTTGAATTTATTTGTATATATTTTCAATCTTATATTTAAATTACAGTAAACATTAATATTTGTATAATTTAAGCTTAAAATAATGATAATGATTTTATATTTATAATATAGTAATGATTTATGCTCAAAATATCATAAAATAACTTAAATTGTATTAAAGAATGAATTGTACTCAAAATAATGATAATGATTCATAGTTTTTGTGAATTATGCTCAATATTACTATAATTGCCTAATAATTATTATGGTAATTAAGAAATTAATTATACAGATATTAATATAATTGACTAAGAATTATGATGTTAATTAAGCTAATAATTACACAAATATTAGTATAATTACAATTAAACATGAGTTGTTGTTGTTTTTTTTTTTATAATAATTACAATTAATTTATTCAGATATGGAGGAGGAGGAGGAAAAGACTAAATGCGATAGGGTGAAAATGAATATACTTAAGGTATAAATGTATAATTGTACATATATTAATATAATTGACTGATAATAATTGCTTAATAATTATTATGGTAATTAAACTAAACATTGATTGTTTGATTTATTTATATAATAATTATAATTAAATTATTTTTTATTTTTTCCCATATTAATTTTAATAATAATATAATTACATAAATTATATTATACATCAATCTTTTTAAGATAATTACAGACAAACGAGTCATATATTATTAAATTAATTTAGTGATATTTACTAATCTTATAATTAAATAAATGTACACGCCAATTATTTATTTGAATTCAAGCAAGGATAACATAAGAAAACATATTCGATCCAACTAATTTCATCAATTGTACTATATAATATTCGATATTATAATTTATATAATTGTATATTGATATAAATATTATTTAAATATTATAACAAATCCATTTTGTACAACGCACCGATGAAAATACTAGTACTAAGTACTAACAAAAACCAATAAAAACCCCAAACAAATGGGTTTGCTCCAAAAGCCGTATAAATCACTTCCTCAAGGTTATTTTCGTCCTTCTCCAAAAAAAAGGTTATTTTCGTCCAAAGGAAAATTATCTTGTACTCCTCCCTTTGGAACGTACACCCCGCCATTTGCGATAGTACGCGCGTTGGGGCAAAGTCCAACTACTATAAATACCTGTAGCCGATTAACCGAAATATCGTAGCAATTATCAAGCCATATACAAGTCATCGGAAATCGTATTTTTAACGATCAAGCCGTTCGTCTCCGGGAAGTTTTCCGACGATTCTTCTCTCCCCATCTTGCTTGTGAGTTGAACTAGTGATTCTAAACTATCAAATGAAACTTTGCCATCAATATCAATATTTACTTAAAAATAATATATTATATATATATATATATATATATATATATATATATATAAAGTCAACCGCTCTTAGTTAGTTAGTTTCTTACCTGCACTTCTTTGCTATTGTGATTTGCTTCTCTGGATAATTTCTTCAAATATTACTTGTATAAATAAAAAAGTATAAAACGCATAATTCGTTGTGTACTTGGAGATTGATAGAAATGACCGGTGGGCCAGTGACAAGAAGAATAAGTTGGTGCGAGGCGATTAGGGATAGGTCTTTTTCTGCTGGTATCTGTGTTTATTTAAATGTAACTTTTGGCAGGTGAGAAGAACAATGGAGATGGAGCAGGAGCTGCAGTGGAATGCGGCACAGAGTATTGTGATAGGCGTGGACCTTGTGGCTGCAGCCAAACAACATCTCGATTTTCTGGGTGCTGTTGATAGGAATCGGTGGCTCTATGAAGGCCCTGGTCTTGATAAGGCCATCAACAGGTATACTTAATGTCAAATGGTTACTCTCTTAATTTGGCCTGTCATGATCCAATAGTAGTTTGTGGTCGAGATTATAGCTAAAATGGTGTTATAATTTCTATATTTTGCATAGTTGAAGGTCATTTTGGATGAATTGATAGTCGAGGTCTAAATTGAGAATTATTTCTTTATGATCTTATGCGTGTAACTTATAAGGATCATTCTCGTGGTGTCTTATGATGATTTATGTTCTAGCTGGTCCCTTTGCATAAAATTTAACAGTAGAGAAACCCAATTTCAGGTACTATTCTTGTTGGCTCCCTTTGCTGGCAAAACATTCTGAGTCACCATTCTTTCAAGGAACTCTGGTTGTTCCTCTTGATTGTGAATGGATTTGGCATTGCCACAGGCTCAACCCTGTAAGTTTCTGATCTAAAGTATATTTCAAATTTCTTATTTTATTTTATAACTTGTGATTTATGACTCAATGAAATGTTCCTTGTCACCTTTTCTTGCAGGTTCGGTACAAATCTGATTGCGAGCAACTGTATGGAGCAATTCTTGGCAACCATAATGTGGTTTCTTCTGTTAAAGGAGCTTCTAAAGAGGAAACTGAACAAGTCTGGAAACAGTTGTATCCAACTGAACCATATGAGTTGGACTTAGCAAGAGCTCTTTCTGATGAGCCTGCAAAACGTTTTGAGCACACAAAGTGCAGCGACTATGATTTGGTTTCAGCAGTTAAAAGGCAAAGTCCATTTTTCTACCAGGTAACCACCAAGATTTGCAATTTCCTTATTGTTAAGGTGAAGTAACCTACATCAAATTGGCATGAATGCAGTAGATTTGCATAAGTGAATTAAACAATGTTTTGAAATGTCTCAAACAAGATGATCGTTTGAGATTAGTAGAGGTGAATATTTTAATGAAGTCGGTCTATTAGACTGAGATTAGCAATTAAAAATGAAGGTTATTGTTTGCTCCTTGTCACTACCTAAGACCTTCAAGTTGAATTCTTAGATCAAGGGTAATTTACATGAGTTACTTCATCTGTCTTTCTTCCTCTATGCTTAATTAATTACCACTTTTCATGCTCATCATATTCCCAATATCATGCAGTCTATGCAGATCATAAATTTGAAGGACAGAGAACTGAACCTTAAAGGATTCTTTTTTTTTTTTTTTCCCCTAATTCATGATTTTGATTGTTCTCACTTATGGTGTGTTTTCACTCCAAGTCCTACTTTTTTCAAGTAGAAAACTAGAAATTTCTTGTAGATCGACTTTCTTAAGCTAGATATAAGATTTTTTTTTTAAAAAAAATTTATTATTTATTTATTTTTTGTCAATATCTTATTACAGGTATCAAGACCTCACATGAACAGTGAGCTCTATCTTGAAGGGGCTGTGGCTAGATACAGAGGATTCTTGCATTTAATCCGAAGAAACAAAGAAAGATCAATTAGGTGCTTCTGTGTTCCAACTTATGACATTGATCTTATCTGGCACACTCATCAGTTACATCCTATTTCTTACTGCAAAGACCTTGTGGAAATAATTGGCAAGGTTTTAGAGCACGATGATACTGACTCAGACAGAGAAAAAGGGAAGAAGCTGGATACAGGGTTCTCTAAAACTACCGCGCAGTGGGAAAAAACATATGGTTGTAGGTATTGGAGAGCAGGGGCAATGTACAGAGGCAATGCACCATTACCTCTTGCAATTTGTCACGACTCTCCCAACACTCTAACCAAGAAGGTAGTTGTCGCCCATAAGGATCAGAGATTATTTCATCTTCCTGAAAGAAAGGTTCTGGAGGTAGTTTAATCTTCTCTTTGCCCTTTTTTGTTTTCTCTAGATTAAATGCCTACATGTTTGCTGTCTCAATGCTGTTTAGAGGTAATCTGGAATATGTGATCAATAAAATGTAAAGCATACAAATCATCATCTGGTCTTGGACAAATATAAAACTGTTATCCACTTTGATTACCATTCCGTTATTAATCTTTTGGAGGTTTGGCACCAGATTTAGTTGTAACTTGAAATACTTGTGGCCTGAAACAATGCTATGTATGCAATTGTAATTTTTTGTTATCTTCTTTAATATCTTGCAGGTCATGTTAGAGTTTGTAGGTTTAAGAAATGTACCAGAGGAACATAGAGGGAGGCTCTTTGTCTCATTCAGTAAAGAACAGCCTGATTCAATCTTCAATGCAAAGAGAAGACTTAATATTTTGTCTGAGAGTGGGAATAAACAGGTTGCTTACTTTCAATGTCAAGCTAGTGGAAAGTTGCTCTTTGAACTTATGAGCCAGTCATCTTCTAACCTACCATTATTGAAACCTGCCAAAACTGTGGGTTCTGTTTCTGTCTCTCTGGAAGAGTTGTTATCCCCGGCATCTAATCTCACTATGGAGAAATGGCTTGAATTGGTGCCAAATTCTAATTTGGTAAGCTCGAAGCCTATCTGTTTACGAGTAGCTATCTCAGTTACAATGCCAACTACAGCACCATATGTGCTTCACATGGTTCGTTCTCGGCCATTCTCAAAAAGTTCTTGCCTTTTCCCACTCCCTGGGAAGGGTCAAAATTGGACCCGCATCATAGATGAAGATGGTGAAGAGATCATCAGCTTGCAAATGAGGTAATCATGATTTTGGATTTTCTACTGCATCTAGAAACATGAATGCACATCAATGACATCACTGACAAACCCCATCTAGTTTTTTCTTTGAAATATATTATTACCTTATGTCAATGTCAAAATATGCAGTTAGATGCTTCATCTTGTTCTATACCAAGGTCTTTGGTGGATTTCCATAATTGACGTATCTTTGACTTCAATGTTTCTACTAAAACCTCAAGAATGTTAACTTTTCTGGTGAAAGAAACTTTCTTCAAACTTCTTATTTTAAATATTCTCATTTTGAAACCTTTTAGTTGAGTATGGTGAAACTATCTAAGCATTGCAAGGGTCTTGATTCGTATTTATCTTAAGGGCTGTCAAAGTAAACATGTGCCATTTGCAAGATTACCGCAACCTGCAGTGCATCAAAGATGTTACTCTATGAGTCACACTGTCACTGCACTACTGCTCACAAGTGTTTGATACTCTGCCATGCTATAGCAATCCTGAACTCTTTGAAATTGCATGGTTATATTACAGGGATTTCAATAAATCCAAGGGAAAGTCAGATTCCGTGTTGAGGCAAGAAGTCATTGCTGTAACAAAATCTGGTGAAACACGTACCCTTGCTGAGTTTGTGGGGACAGAGTGGTCACTGATAGATGCTCAGTGGTCCATTTCTTTTCACAATAACCAAAATGGTGACGGTCACCTTTTGAAGTTGACTGGTCCGCGCAATGTAAGAATCTGTCTCTTGTATTTGTGCTGGAATTATTTTATAATTTTTGTCTTTTGTTCTTTACATATCTATTTAATATTCCATGCTTTGCTTAATTTTTCTTTTTCTATTTGCAAATTCAACATCATTGGGTATCTCTAAGTATATACATATTGAGTGCACTCCTTTGAGGACTCTTTCACTCCCCAGTCTTCTGTTTCTTTGAAACTTTATTACATCATGAGGCATTGGTAATCAGGGAAACTATCTACCATATTTTATCAGTTTGCAATTTACCTGCAGGATACTAATATATTCAGAAAAAACACCCCTTTCAATTAACATGCACCTCTGTGTTGGTAGTTTCAGAAATTTTGATTTGCAGACCTGCATTATAATATTAGATTCTAGATATACATGACATTTATATTCATTCTTGAAACAGATTAGGTATTTCACTGGCCGGAAGCTGGATTACCAGCCCAAGCATTGTGAGAAGCAAAGAAGAGAAAATGAATTCATGACTGCAATAGAGTTCTCGGCTGAACACCCATATGGCAAGGCACTGGCGATGGTGGATTTGAAGTTTGGTGTCATCAATGTAAATTTGATTTCATTGTTATTTTGGAGTTGAGTAGTTATTGCTTCGCTTACGTTTCATTACATTTATTTAATTTTGACAAATCAGGTGAAAGAGGACTGGTTACTTATTCCTGGAACAATAACTGCTTTTATACTTTGTGACATTCTAAGAAAGGAGGGTTATGATGGGTTGTCTGCAAGTGGCCAAAATTTGAAGGATAAGTGTTCAAACCAGGATGTTGCCTATCATGCTGAGAACAATAAAATCAGCTGTGGTGTGGATTTCAAAGTCAATGACCATCATAAGGAGGATGGAGGTGGAGAGTCTGGATATAGGTTTAAAAGTGGTGGTTTTGGTGCTGTAGTTGGTAATGTCAGTGACTATCTTGAAGTTGAGGATGGAGGTGAAGAGTCTGGATATAGGTTGAAAAGTGGTGGGTGTGGTAGCGGATGTGGTGGTGGTTGTGGTGGCGGTGGCGGTTGTGGTAGCATGTTGAAAAGTGGCGGGTGTGGTGGCGGTTGTGGTATCATGTTGAAAAGTGGCGGGTGTGGTAGCGGGTGTGGTGGTGGTTGTGGTAGCGGTGGTGGTTGTGGTAGCATGTTGAAAAGTGGCGGGTGTGGTAGCGGGTGTGGTGGCGGTTGTGGTAGCGGTGGTGGTTGTGGTAGCATGTTGAAAAGTGGCGGTTGTGGTGGCGGGTGTGGGGGCGGTTGTGGTGGCGGGTGTGGGGGCGGTTGTGGTAGCATGTTGAAAAGTGGTGGGTGTGGTGGCGGTTGTGGTAGCGGTGGTGGTTGTGGTGGCAGTGTTGCTAATGTCAGTAACCATCACAAGGAGGATGGAGGTGGAGAGTCTGGATATGGGTTGAAAAGTGGTGGGTGTGGTAGCGGATGTGGTGGTGGTTGCGGTGGGTGTGGTACTTTTGTTGGTAATGTCAATGACCATCGCAAGGAGGACACTACCGAAACAACCAAGATTGTCGCTGCCTGATTCTGCTTGATCGGAGACTGCTAGCCTGCTGGCTGTCTTCTTATTCGCCCCGTCATATATGCAAATAATAAGTTCGACCATTCGAACATCTGTGTTTGTTGTGTGTCAATGTGTCGTCTCCAAATGTGTTTGTTTATTGTCGTTGTTGTGATTATATCATAAATAATAATAAACTAATGGTTTGAAGTGCTTGAATTAATCTGCGATTGCCCTTTCACCTGTTTTCTTTCTTGGACACAAATCTATCTATTACGGAGTACTTGTTAAGGTTGTCTGTCAACATTACTAGTTTTATACATCTATAAAGTCATAAACTCATAAAGACTAATTTGGTAGGGAGGAATAATGAAAATGAGAGGAGTGATATAAAGACTAAAATACCTTTGGCCATGTTTGGTAAAATATAGGCCAATTTTGGCTTATTTGACCACTATTAATTGTTTGATTTAGTTAAAATATCAATATAAATGTTTGGTTAATTAGCTTTTTGCAACTCCAAAAGGCTAAAATTAAAAAAGCTACTCCTAGCAACTTTTTCAATTATCTTTTTGAGAAAAGAAATTATATCAAACTGCTATCAGCTAACAGCTAATTTACTAACCACTTTTCTACAATCAGCTAATGTTATCAACTATTTATACCCTCTAATTAACACAATCAGCTAACAGCAAATGTTATCAACTATTTATACCCTCTAATTAACACAATCAGCTAACAGCAAACAGCTATCAGCTAACAGCCATTTTACCAAACAGGGCCTTTGTGTAATAATATTAATAATATTCAAAGACAAATATGACATTTCCTTCATTTTCTCTTTTCATTGTATGGATGAATTCACTGAATTGCAATTCACTTGCAATTTAATGAATTGAGAAAATTGCACTTCTCTCCAACTAAACAATGTAATTTATCATTTCATTAAATTGCAATTCAATGTCAATAAAATTCATGCCAACCAAACACCCCTAAAGGTGTGCACTCCCCGTCTTTTGAGCCAAGTCGAGATCATAGTTACCTAGCTAGCTAATCCACTCATATTTCATTATTTATTATTATTATTGTTATTATTATTATTATTATTATTATTATTATTATTATTATTATTATTATTATTATCAATCTCTTTCTTCATATTTCTACATTTCCAACAAGGGTTCACATTTCTTTCCTTAGCACTTTAAATTAAATTAATGTATATATGCGTGCATTTCTACTTTTAACTAAAGCCCACCGCTCCCCTACAGGAATCAAGGAATAATGGGTTGAATTTTCTTCTTTAGAAAAAAAAAAATAGTAATGAGAAAGTAAGGTTCAAATAAAAACGAGTAAATTAAACCACTTTCTATAATGCTAGCTGGTGGGTGTAGTTAGCTGCATGATTTGATCTTTACAGGATGTTCAATCCAACAAAAATAAAAAAAAAAATCACTGAATCAATATATATATGCATAAATAACCATTTTTAACAAAGAATAATAATCATGACACCAACAAAACCGAAACAAAAGCCCAATCATAATAATAATTACTTAATGGTAGTATTTACTTCCCCTGTACCTTTGATGGTAAATATACGGTAAAAAGTTGGAAACCCAAAATGGTAATACTTAAGCGGTGGGATGATCGCCATTGACTGAGTAGTTGGGTTCTCCGGTAGACACCATTGCCGGCTTCTGCTCCGGAACGGGGACGGTTGGCATCGCCGGAACAAATTTGTAAATTGGGTGTTCCCGGTTTTTGTCACCGCCGAACTGCCCGACGGCGGTATGGAATCCACCCGCCATCATGGGTAATCCGTAAACCATTTTCATCCCGTTTGCATAGACGACACCACTGGTCACGTGAGCTTCATGTAGGTGTGGTGGGAGATGAGTCTGAAGCAGCATCAGCTTGTTACCCGATCCAGAATTCCCGGGTACGGCACCATTTTCCTTGTGTGTTTCCGGGCCGGGAATTTCGGGGACAGACATTCCTCCAGCTACAGGGATGTGCAATTGGAGAAGATCGTGCGACGTCGGCGTGATACTCGGCTGGTAATCCGTATCGAATCCGAACAGGAAATCCGGATTCAGCGGCGCATCGGAGTCGGGTTTGGCGGGGCGGTTCGGGTTGAACAGGAAGAGCCTCAAGCGAGCCGGCTTGGCGGAACCCTTGTGCATGCGGTCGTACTCAACCATCATGTGCTCCACATCATCGTCGTCGATCAGAGTCACCAAAGCGTCCAGATCTTCGCCCGGCAACTGGTACTTTATACAAATCTCGCTGCAGTTACAGAGAGAGCTCAGCTTGGAGGAAATCTCCGAAAACCTGATTTTCCGATCGACGGTGAGGATTTTGGTGTCTCCGCCGACGTACGCCAGCTGATTGTCCCGCTGCCGCGGCTGAATCTTCCCGCCGTAGCTGCACATCAGTTTCACCTTAGCCTTACATTTCGAACCTTCGCCGTCGCCGTCGCCGCCGCCAGAAGAACAATTGATACTCTTCTGATTCTCCATCGACGATCTCTATCCCAGAGCGTAGCAGCAGAGAACTGGCGAAGTGAGTATTCACAATGAATCTATTTGGAATTTTGGGGTTTTTAAATTTCCCTTTTTCAGGACTCCAAGGCGGTTAATTCTTACATGCTCCTTAGGCGCACCGTAACTACTATGGTGCTCCTACTTGGAATGGGGTGTGTGGGGGGTCCACAATTGAAGGTTTTTCCGCGTCCGAGTCATTATTATGTAATGTAATGTAGGGTCGCCAACAGAAAAAAAGGGATTAGATCTTTCATATTTATAATTTATAATTTGTTACGGAAGGAGTAGTTTATATATATATATATATATATATTGGATAATGACACTTGTGGAAAAAGGAGCCATAAGAACACCAACTTTGGTGCCTATTTGAGATTTTATTGAACATAATTTCGGACGTTTTTGATATTTTTTTTTTTTTTTTTTTTTTGAAAAAGGAAAAATAGTTTGCATGGCTAGGGTGTGCAATTGATTAATCGGGTCGTTTTAATCGAAATTTTTAAAATTTTAATCATTAATTGAACCGAATTTTGTATTACTGAATTAAGCGAACCAAAATTTTTTACTTAATTTTTTAAAAGTTACTGTCATAACTTACCAACTTAGCTAAGTCATCTCTCATATATATATATATATATATATATATATATATATACACATACACACACATTGTCTCACCGTGAATTCGCCCCTAACCACCTTTGTTGTTATTCTAAGCAATGGAATATAAGGGTCTATTATAGTGTTGATAGCAAGGGAATTTCTTTCTTTTATAATTCCTTAATTATTGTAAATTTTTACTTTGAAAATGAAACATGCCCGAGATATTAATCAAATTGATAATCTCAATTTTTAAATTTATATTAAAAAATGTTACAATAACAAAGTTTTTTTTAATGAAATATTTTAATTGCGCTTAATAAAGTTGGAGTAATAAATAGCACGAGTAATGATGAATTCCGTGATTTCTGTTTTTGGAATTGACAATTTTATATCCCAAATTTCCAAAAAAAAAAAAAAAAAAAAAAAAAAGTTCAAACCGTGTATAGATTATAATCAGTCCCCACAACATCCTTAAAGCCTCACACTATCTATGTTTCAATTTTATCCTTAAAATAAAATGGTCAATCTTTAATTCTTGACAGGGTCGCATAAATAAATACTAAGCACCCTTCACTAAAAATCTCACCTTTATCATTAAGTACTAGAATTATGTCTTAATCGCTCAAATTTACTATAATTTATTTATATATTATAATTACATTGATTTTGATTTCATTCTAATTATAGTCAAATGGCTATTGTATTCCATTTTAGAAAGATATTGATAAATTATAATTATGAACGTTTGCCTTTGTTTGAAGTCATTTTTAATGGGGATATTAGTAATCTTTCACACATTAATTACTTATACAACATTTGTCTATACAAAATAGTTAATGACCATAACCATGGATAATGGAATCAATTACTTTTGGAAATAAATATATAAGAATATTACACTTCTTAATTAGTACCTTTGGCAATAAATATAATAAAAGAATAATATGCACATGAGTGGGGCAATTTGGTTTGAAAGTTGTAGGGACCTACCAAATAGGATTAAGTCAATTCTAGTAGTAAATAATAATGAGTTAATACCTAGTCCTCGACTATAGTGGTTTTTCTCAATTTCATCCTAAACAATTTTGGTGACTTAATATCGTCTCAGACTTTTGTGTTTCGCTCAATTTAGTCTCAGACTTTTGTGTTTTTGCTCAATTTAGTTCCTCATTTGTTATTCTGTCCATTTGGTGTTAAATAATTAGACAATTCAGTAATTTTAATATTGACATCTCTTTACTCATAGACATGTGAATTGCGAAATCATTTTTTTTTTTACGAATTACTCTCAGAATTACTCCTAAAACTGCGAATATAAAATTTGATTTGCAGGTCCGGGAGTAATTCTGGGTGTAATTCGTACAAGAAAGAGGAATTTCGCACTTCACAAGTTGAAAGTAAAGAGAGATCAATATTGACATTACTGAATTGTCCCTTTATTTAACACCAATTTGACGGAATAACAAATGGAGGACTAAATTGAGCAAAACACAAAAGTTTGGGACGATATTAGGTCACCAAAGTCGTTTAGGACGAAATTGAGAAAAACCACTATAGTCGAGGACGATTTTGGGTATTAACTCAAATAATAATAGTGTGGGTGTGGCTCATCCGTTGAGCCATGCTCTGTTTTGTTTCTTTACTTCTATTTTTTTTCTACCAGTTGGCGGATTAAATAAAAAGAGGAAAATAATAACTACTTATGACATGCATACATTGAATTTATTATACACGAACTATTATTAATTTAACAAATGAACAAATTACACTTTGATCCTAGGACATAAGGGGACGTGTTAATTTCGCTCCATGATTTTTAAAACTAACAATTTAGTCATTTAACTATGTTTTTTTAGCATATTTGGTCATTCCGGCCAAATCACCGGTGGAAATTGGCCGGAAAAACTTAAACCTTTTTAAATTTTATTGTCATGAGAGCAAAATAGTCTTTTTACGTAAGTTGCTTCTTCTTCTTCGCGTTCATGAGCTACGGCTAACAGTTGTCTCTGCTTCCAAGAAAGAACAGCTCCAAGAATCGAAGCCCCAAGTTCATAAGCAAGGTATGATTTTTATCCTCAGCTTTTTCTTCATGTCTACTGCGCATTTCTTG